GTCTAATTTTGAGTCAAACTCATTATGTAGAAAAAATCCTCAAAAAATTCAATAAGGATGATACAAGAATAGTAAAAACTCCACTGGACACAAGTATCCATTTATCCAAGAATCGTGGAGAAGGTGTATCCAAAATTGAATACGCTAGGATAATTGGAAGCTTGATGCACCTGATGAGCTGCACTAGACCTGACATAGCTTATGCTATAAGCAAGGTGAGTACGTATAAGAGTAATCCTAGTCGCGAGCATTGGAAACCCATATTTCGTGTCTTTAGGTACGTATGGTACACTCGAGATTATGGGCTGCACTACAACAAACATACAGTTGTAGTAGAAGGCTACTCAGACGCAAACTGGATATCTGATACTCTCAATTCGAGATCAAGTAGTGGATATATGTTTACACTAGCGGGTGTAGCAATCTCTTGGAAATCCTCATAACAAACAATTATTTCCAAATCCACAATAGAATATGAGTTCATTGCATTGGATAAGGCTGGAGAAGAAGCGGAATGGATTCGCCACTCCAGAGTGGGATAAACCTGTCTCTGCCATAACCCTTTACTGCGATAGTAAATCTGCTATTGGCAGAGCAGAGAGTATAGTGTACAATGGAAAGAATCGACACATTCGCCGTTGACATACTTCCATAAGGCAACTAATCACAACTAAGGTTATTTCGATAGACCATGTTGCGTCAAAAGATAACCTAACGGATCCACTAACCAAAGGGTTAAACCGTGATGCAATTTATAAACTGACAAGAGAAATAAGGGTTAAACATGCCAAGATATAAGTTTTATAAAGGAAAACTCAACCTAGAAAGATTGAAGATCTCAAAAACTAGGTTTAATTGGACAACCTACCTATAAGACCTATGTGTGTCACTGTGGGGGCTTTTAGCCTTGACCCAACTCGTGTCAACGAATGATGATAGAACAAGGAGGATAGCAAATAATTGCTTTAATGATCACTAATTAAGTGTCGTATCCCTCGGAAACTGATAGTTAGAAATCACATGCGTTTTATATTCATATCATATGCGATATTTGGATGATTTTGATTGGATTCTACCTAATTTATATACGAATTATTTATTTGCTATGTGCAGAGGGCAAATATTAAATTTAGCATAATTGGCAAAAAAAAGAAATAAAATTAATTAAAGGCCCAAAAGCCCATCTACAAAATAATTAGGGCAAAAATCAAATAAGAATGAAAAAGACACGCCTATTTGGCAAGGGAGAACGGCTATGGCAGAAACGCACAGGAGCAGGAGACTGACAGATTCATAGATCGCGCAGGAGCAAATCAACAAAGAAGATTTCTCCTTCCCACTATGACTTCATCTTTCTCTTTTATTCTTTGTTATTTAATTATGGAGTAGATACTTTTTGGTTTGAGGGGTGATAATGTTTTGGTTTTTTTGTTTTGGAGATTCTTGATTTTCTTTATAAAAGTTCTTTTTTATTATCAATATCTGTCTAATTCTGAGAATAACGTTTGTGATTATTATATTGATTGAATATTTTTGGTACCGATATTTAAATTAGTCTGATAATCTAAAGTCAATTCAAGTAGGATATCTGTAATTGTATTCGCACTTGAATAGGTGACAACCGGGTTGAATAGTTCCTTCCCGGGGGTTAGACAATCAAATCTAATTGCTCCTCTTAGGTAGTAATTGTTTTGAATTGGGTTTTTCTAGATTGGAATGTGGTTAGGCAATATTCTTATGGGCGCACCTAGGTTTATTTGCTTAATTAGGGGTAGTTAACGGTCGTACCTTAATTACCTACACTGTAAGGAAAAATTGGTTATCAGAGCTTGTTGATAACTATAACCAATTTATTGATACCTTAATAAGAATTAATTTTATTGAATTAATGATAGAACACAAGTGTCATAACTGCATCATCCCTTGAGCCAGACATCCCCTTGATAGTCAGTTTCCTTTTAATTTAATTGCTTTGTTATTTTATTTTAATTAGATAATAAAAGAAAAATCCCCATTTATTTACTGCATTAGAACACGAAAGAGTGAATCATACAATCCATGTGGAGACGATCCCTTCACCTATATTACATTAAATTGTGATTACGGAGTAGGTGAAATATTTGATTGACCGCGCGACAGGTCAGAAACATAGAGGAATGTTCCTTCAAAAGAACACCTACTCATCCTATACAAAATTCATTTTCTTTCATTGAGTCATCGTTTTCCTCTTTGATGTGGGGGATTGTTAGTGTAAGTGAAAAAGGAAGAAGTGAGAGAAGAGTGGATTGTCCCACATGGAAAACATATAAAACATCACCCTTCCATATATTGTTTTGCACCGTATTAAGAGTAAAGAAGAAATTAGGATTGGATTGGGCATGACTTGATTTGGTTTGGGCCTAGCCTAGATTGGGCTTGACTTAGGCTTAACTATATTAAATGTCAAGATTTGGGTCTTGGGCCTTGGAGCCGTTAGGCCAAGCCCAAATTTCTGAAAGTCCAATTATTTTAATTTTGTATTTATTTTATTAATTTATTTTGACTTGAAAAATTCAAATAATTAAATAAAATATTACGGTTGCAACTATCTTGCAATGTGCAAAAGTGGGTGCATGATTGACTTCTTCCCTTTTATGAAAATTAAATAAAAAATAATCCCCAAACCATGAAAAATATGTAATGTATATATTCTCTCTCTTCCAAAAACTCTTTTAACTTTTATGCAAAATCTCTTCTTCCAAAATTTTTTTGATTCGGTTCGCGAAATCTCTTATTCTATAAATTATTCATTTTTTTCCTGAGAGGCGATCGATGGAAGACCGAAATTCGCTTCAAGAAATCGCGTCCTATACGAGGCTCGAATTTTTTTGAATGTGATATTCAAAATCGTTATCATATTTGGTGATTTGATTTTGTCACATTTCAAATTCGCTATTAATTTTCCAACAAGAAACACACCCATAGTCACTTCTTTGTCTTCTTTGTCATGTAAAAATAAACCGATCTTGGTGAAAATTTTCAATACTACTATAATTTAGTAAAACTAAATTGGAAATATTGTTGTATGATGATTCAAATATAAGAGTATATTTTATTTGTGTAGGGATTATAATTATTAAAAAAGAAACAAATAAATTAATTTGAGATAGATTTAAATGACAAAATAAATTAATTAATTTTGTATGAAAGGATTATTATATTGTTATTATTTCCGTGATGATTGCATTAATTTATAGGTTATTCTTTTTTGCTTATTATTCTTATTTCCTTCTTCAATTTATTAATTTTGGAAGTTCTTTTAATAATTTAAGAACGAAACAAAAAAGTGTCATGTATTATAGAGAATGTTTTGAAGAATTTTTTTTTTTTGTTAACTCTGGTATGTTTATTAGATTTTTGTTGTTATATATATATATATACATATACATATACGGTGAAGGTTAAGATTATATTGATTTGACCAAGCTAGTACACTAAATTGAAGTAATTAGTATTTTATCACAATATAGATAACATATATTGTGTTATATAAAAATATATGTTTTGTGTGAGTTATGTAGTATATTATTTTATGATGTATAATGTGCTTATTGTGCTAAAAAATCATAATATATTATGCTACATGTAATTATGTAATGTACTATCAAAATATGTGTTATATATTACATTAAGCAGTGACTACGGTGCTGAAAAACACATTGTGTGCTGTCTGCCAACACACAGTATTATTACAGACAACAGATTGTATATGTTAATATAATACAACTACAATACATGAACTAAAACACATGATATAGTCTCATACAACATACACAACAGTTGATTTTAGCACATTCACACTTTTATACAACACACATGTAATTATGAACAAATAACACATACCTTTATTACATATAACATGTGCTATATGTAATAAGAATATGTGTTGTTTGTATACATTATGGGTGCTGAATTTTTCAAATCAGCACCGTAATTATTACCATTATGATAAGATGTGCTGTCGGATATATGTTATCTTTTTTTATAAACATATGTCGATTGGTTAAATCGTCGCAGTAACCTATTATATATATTTTGAGTAGTTGCTTGTGATGAAAACACTAATTGAACGCATTCAAAATTGGTTTTGACACCAAACAAATTTTTTATTGCTCATACTAAACATGATCTAGGAGCTACTAAAATTAAACTATGCAACAAATTCAAACTTTTAAATTAATCTAAGGGACAACAACTATCTTTTTTTTTTTTTTTTCTTATTTTCTAGAGTATCTATTACAGTCACATTTTTTATTATTTTATAATTATCTTTTCAATTTTTACTATAACAATATTCATTACCTTTAATGATATAGTTATTATACATTTATTACCTTTGATAAGAACTTATTACCTCTAAAAAAGTAATTTAATTAATTATTACTCAAAATTTTTAAAATTTTAAAATTAATAATTTATTAATAATTTATCTATGTAAATACAATTTAAATTTATTTCAAAAAATTATATTTATCTACATACTTTTTAATAATTTAGTTTTATCTAATTTTATATATCAAATATCAAATTTTAATTTTTTTAAAAAAATTTAATACACAATTTCAACAAAATGGCCAATGAATACATAATTCAACTAGTTTTTTGAACCAGATGAAAAATGTTAGGTGATATATCAATCCAAGTTTCTTTTCATAATTTAATTTTTCAAATGCAAGTAATCTCACAAATTCAAATAATATAATAATTCAAAATTATTATAAAAATTATATAAATTGTCACAATTTATATTAATATCTTGGAATTATATAAATAATAATAAACTTTATTTATGTATTATATAATATAAATATATATAATAATTTAAAAAGAATTTTATAAAATAGTAAAAAATAATGGATTAAAAGTAATGATTACAATAGTAGTTAAAATTTAAATGTTAGATGTGATATAATGTCAATAAGAGACAAAAAAAAATAAATAAAATTAAAGTAATTATTAGAACTGATGGTCTTATATACAATTACAAACCATAGCATCGCCATCAACATTAACATCGAGGAAATACAATAGCATAACCATAGAAACACAACACAGAAACATCGGAATAGGCCCGAAAATCCACATAAACAGCGGACCTGAAAAATAAAATGTTCTCAACCCTAAAGACCAAAAATAACTTCCTCTATTTACTGTCCTACACACGTACTCTGCTCTAATATTTTTTTTGCAATCACAATTCATGTTTGTATTTTTATTTGGAACGATAATAAGTATGCTTGCTTGACTATAATATTTTATCGATTGCATGCTAAAAAAGAAAGTCATTAAAAGAAACAACAATATTGAGAAAAATTTTATGAGAAATCCCAATTCACTTTTTTCGCCGTAAATCATTAGCATTGGGCGCCCACCGCGACCTCCGCAACCGCCGATCATCATGACAGTAACGGCGGCGCTGAGCATTATTGCCGCAGATGCTAATACAGTTGAAGCCATAATATTGTTCCTTAGAATTTGGATGGGTAAGATTCCATTTGTGGACGAAATCTATAATTTAACGGGAATATTATATTTCAAATAAAAATAGGTAATAAATATAATGATTTTAATTGAAAATAAATATTGAAAATATTTTTTTTTTTATAATTTTTAAAATTATCTTATATAGAGATACAAATATTGTTCGATTTACTACAAATAACTAATTACCAAATTGGCAATCATTTAATTAATGTTTTTTGTGAAAATGATGAATTTGTTTTTTGTAATTTTAAATGAAAAGTAATACTATTAACTCTCCATGCCTTTCAATAAACATATACTATTTCCTCTCCGAATATATCAAATTAAAATATTATTTAAATAAAATTCAAATCAATTTCTACTTATATTTTGAATAAAAAATAAGTTAATAATTAATGGAGTATAAAATATAGGTTATAATAAAAACATACATATGAATAATGAGTGTATTTGGTTCCTATTTGTATTTTAATAACTATTTTATAAAACATTATTAATAATTAATACTCGTATATTCTTACATAGCCTAAATGCAACGAATACAAACCTCCATCATTGTAAGAACCCAACTGCGGCGGTTGATGGCGTTGATTCCGATGATGGTGGCGGCGGGACGGCGGCAGATCTGCCGGAGAAGCCACATGTGATAAACGGCCATTATCAGAAACCCCAACGGCACCACTGTGTAATCAAGAATCTCTTTCCCCATTAATCTAACCATATATAAAATTAAATTTTAATTAATAATAATATTGTAGCATCATTGAAATTATTGATGTTTGAAAATATAATAATCATAAGAAGAACCTTAGGAAATAAATTATGTAATGGTTGATGAAAATTTTATTTCGCAATAATATTTACTTATTTTTAGTCCAATGTTATTTTATTTTATAGAAAAACATTTTCAGGTAACTAACTAGCTATAGTAATATTCTAGGGTGGAAACAATAGAACACGTGACAACTGTTTGGCCTTCTTTTCTTTTCTTTTTTTTTTTTTTTTTTTTTTTTTTTTTTTTTTTTTGCATTTTTCATGTTTTTTTAAACTTGTAATTTACAGTAATTTAATTTTTTATTCTAAAATATAATTTTTTATGAACCAAAAATCGCATTTCAGGCGCGTGATATTCAACCTTCGTTAAATTATAACGGAAGGCGGATTTTTTGCAATATTTTGAAAACCACAAATAGGTTTTTTTGGAGTTTTAGAACAACGAGGTTTTTTTAGCAATTTTGGGAAACCACATGGAGTTTTTTGCTATTTTAACTTTTTTTTTTTTTTCATTTTTCATTTTTCATTTTAAACTTGTAATCTACATTAATTTAATTTTTTATTCTAAAATATAGTACTATCATACACTATCTGTTTTTTTATTTAATATATTAAATACAAAAAAAAAGTATTCCAAATATCACACAAATTATAAATTTATATCATATTAAGTTTTTATTAATATTAAAAATAAAATATAAAGAGTTTAGTGTTTTAATTTGAATTTTTTTTTTTAATTATGAGGTATAGGGAATTATGTCCGTAATATAAAATATAATATTTTATGTTGAATATTGACTTTTAAGAGAAAATATAAATATATATATTGAAAATCATATGGAATAAAAAAATAAAATTGGATGAACAAACTCAAAATACACCGTAACACAACCAAATAAAAGGTTTGTTCCCTTAATACTTTTAACTAAAGTACTTTTTATAAATATTATTAAAAAAATATAATATATACACGTTAACACAATATATAATATATATTACCTATTCACAAAAATGTAACAAATTAATACAAAATATTATTTTTTATATTACCAAAATAATTTCTAGTAAAAAAAAAAAAATCCATCTAAAAATATAAATTAAACAAACCCAAACTCTCTTCTCTTAGAGTTTGCTTTCTTCTATTCCTATAACTATCCTGATTTAATATATATTATTTTCTTTTATAAAATATTTAATTCAGATTAAAAATCAAAATCAGAATGAGAACTTGTCATTTTGTACTTTGATATATACATATCTTATGCATTTTAATAATATTATCATAGTTGGGTGTTTCTTTTTTATCAAAAATATCTAATATATTTTCTCAAAAATTTAATATATTACGTAGATTTATGATATTTATATTATCTACACAATTATATACTTTATATAAACAATTTTTTTTTTCAAACTAAAACACAAAACAGACAAAGACGATTTCAAATTATAAATATAATTAGTATTTTTTTATTAAAATATCACATTCAATATATATATATATATATATAGAAATCCATCCAAATTCTGATATTTATTTTTATTATTCAACTCTCAAAATTTCTCATAAAAATATTATTTTGATCTTATAAAATATTATTTGAATCAAAATTCAAATATAAGATTAAAAATAAACATAAAATAAAAAAAAACACATTTGTTAGTAGAGTTGAGAGTTGGATTTAAAATTTAAAATAAAAAAATATTTAAATTAAAATAATTATTCGTTATAATATATTTAATTTGACATTAAAAATATATTTATTTAATTTGATACTTTTTAAAGAAGGAGTATATAATAATAATAATAATAATAATAATAATAATAATAATAGTAAAATTAGGGGTTTATTTTCTTTTTTATTTCAAACTAAAATCAATATTATTCACTCTACACAATTTTCAATAAAAATATATTTTTTATTCTCAGAAAATATTACATAAAAATACTATTCAAATAAAAATTCAAATCAATATTTTATTTTAAATCAATTTCAACCCACGATCAAATAAAGAATAAGTTAGAAACCCGCAAGCAAACATAGACATATGTTTCTTTTGATGGGGTTTGAAAATTTTTATTTGAGTTTTGTATTAAAATAATATAGCAAACATAGACATATGTTTCTTTTGATGGGGTTTGAAAATTTTTATTTGAGTTTTGTATTAAAATAATATATGATGAGATGATTTTGAGAGAAAATATATTTTTTTCCGAAAGATACCAAATAGTTAAAAATTGGGATTTGGAGTGTAACAAAAAACACCTACATATTTTTGCATTACTACATTCAGTCTAGTACACATTTTTGTTGGAATACAGAACATTACATTCTAACTCATCTATTACTATTTATCGGGAAAATTACAAAAAATATCTTGTAATGTACTTAATTATTACTCTTGTTTTTTAATTATCATCTTATCAGAATATATCTTGCATGTGTAACAACTTTGCTATTTTAGTACATTAATCGCACATGAATATTTATTCTACTTACAACCAGTGACGGATTTACATTGGGGCTTGGGGGGTCAGTTGATCCTCCAAACCCTTCCAATTTTTTTTGAAGTGTAATTTTTTTTAATTTTTTATTTAGTAATCAAATTTGCCCCATCCATTTGGGATTAATATTCTACATAAATTTTCATGTTATTATTATTTTAATTTATAATAATATATAATATTTTTATTTATAAATTTATTATATAAAAAATAAAATATTTTATTTAAATATTATTTTCTTTCATTTTTTTTTTCTTTACAGCCACATTATAGTGTTAATAAAATCGACGAAAAAGTTACTTATATTATTTTTTGTACACACAAAAACAGCTGAATGTCTGTTTCAAATAAAAAACAGGCTCGAAATAAGTTGAAACTAAAAATAAATGGTAAAAAATGAAACAAATAAATATAACAATTTTGCCCCTCCGGAGCCGCAAGGCTGGTTCCATCACTGCTCACAACTACTACTCTAACTTGCACTCGATGGACACCATTGCGAAATATATTCTGGACATGTCACAACTTCGCTAAAAATATATGTTACATATTATATATTATGCAATATTGTATCATGTGGTATGCAGTGGCAACAATACGTAAATTTGACAAGTTGTAAAACTCACGCGTAAGCTATAATATTGAAATTGTGACACGTTTAGATTATAATTTTTAGAGCGAAAATAAAAATGATAATTAAATATACATACAAAATAAATATATTTCTATTAAAAATTGTGGGAGTTGAATATCATATTTTTCTTATTTGAAAGGGTGTGTTTGTCTTTATTTCAAACACATTTACTATTATTCACTCAATACAATTTTAATAAAAATATATAATTATTTTTTTCAAAAAAATTACATTAAAATGCTACTAATTCCTCTGTCAGGCTAAAAGAGTTATATTTAATTTTTGAGTAACTATACTTAATATTTAAAATATCTTTATATTTGTATAATTTTTTATAAAAATATTATTATATCAGTACTATAAAACACTAATAGAAATATTTTTTTTTTCTCTTGATTTGTATTATATTTTGATAATATAATTAATATTTAAAGATCAACGTACAAAAACTAAACGTAATTGTTTAAACCGGATGGAGGGAGTATCGAACCAAAATTTAAATCAAACACTCAGTTTCAAATCGAAAAAAAACGCACCCAAAACCCAATACCATCACAATTTTTTCTTTCTTTTTTATATTCGAGTTAAACTTTTCTTTTTTAAAAAATATATTTTTAGCAATTCATTATTTTTTTTACATAAAATACTATGATCTAGTTATTTTTACACTTAAAAAAATACTAAAATAAATACGCAGACATTTACTTTCCGGTTATTTATTTATTTGCATTTATTTAAATAGTATATTTTATATTATATTTTATAAGATAAATTTATATGTTTTGATAGAAATTTGTGATCATTTTAAATTTTACATGGAATTTCAAAGTTCTTTTATGTACTTCTATTATCTTAAATTCACTTGAAAAGGGTGTCATTTCATTTCATTTCATTTCATTTCTTTTTTCTTTTTTTTTTTTCTTTTTTTTCTTTTTGTGTGTGTTGTATTACAGATAATTAATTTGATTAGTACTTAAATTAGTATTTGTGACATGAAAGTGAATGTTTGATTTTTTTTTTAAGCGATAAGATTCTACCGATACTTATTTTGATATATATATATATTGTGGATATATTTCTATAATTTATCCGTATGTTGTTAAAATATACATTTTAAATATTTTCTACAAATATTATACGATCCTAAACAAAATTCTTATAAAATATTTATTGATGGTAAAATTTTAACAAATAAAAAATAAAATTCGAAAATATATTTCAAATTTGAACAGTAAAATTTGGAACTGTAAATCCTCAAATGAAAAGGAAATATAAAGCTGAAAATGATAACGGAAAATAAACTGATGATCCCCGATGATATTCTCTTGAAATTTTGTCTGATTGAAGATGTCTATCATTTCTCACTGGGACTACTTATACACGTATCAAACCAAACCGTTTAGAACCACTTCCATGTCGGTTACCCTTGAACCGGCCAAAAAATCGCTTCCACGTCGGTAATCGTAAAAAAATTGCTTTCACGTCGGTAATCGTAAACAATCGCTTCCACGTCGGTAATCGTAAAAAACCGCTTTCTCATCGGTTACCAATCTGAACTGTCCGAATCGCATCCTCGTCGGTTACCGATCCCAACCGTCCAAAACTACTTCCTCGTCGGTTATCGATCTGAACCGTCCGAAAACTATTTCCACGTAGGTTCTGAACCATCCAAAAACTACTTTCTTGTCGGTTACCGTTGTAACCAACCGCCCCAGAGCGCAAACTTAGATTAAAGCTGTCCGGAGGGGCAACTGTCCGACTGGTCTGGCCCAAACAACCATCCGACAGAAAGAATCTGGCCAGCCACTAGACCTCCACTGGGCCCATCCATCCATTCTTCCTGGGCTCAAACCCAAATCTTATTTTTTTCTGCTCAACAACGTGCCTCCTCCTCCTCTAACTCCCAAATGTCACTCTCGATC